CTCTGAGGTTACTCTTGACCGTAAGATAAATTAGACCCAATCACCTGTTCTGGTTCCCTGTCCTCTCTCAGGCCGAGCCTGAGAAAGAGACTGCTGAACCATCCCCTTCAGTTTTAGCACGCACAGAATCTATTCAGCGAAGCCTCACATAATTAACCTTTTATCACATGAATGCAGCTCTTTGTTACCTCATAGAGCAGAAGGAGATATTCCCTGTCCCAAGCGTGTCTAGTCAACCGAATGTCTGTCGTTACCCACTGAACTCCGTCTCAAGTTACCCGTGACATTCCCCCTCCTGGTGGCACAGCATGGTAGGTGGTCTTCCCTTCATGGCCGCAAAACCAGCCAGACCTTCAGCCGTGTGAGGAGTGTGTGTAGTCTGTGTGTGTGTGTCAAACGTGTAGTTGTTGCGTGCGTGTCGGTAGTGTGTGTATGTACTTCGATGGCTCTTGCTACCATTATCTGCCCTGGTGGGAAGACGTGGATTAATAGAGAGACTATAGCTACAGTACATCAGGGGAATGGGTGGTCTTGGAAGGGGATTAAACAAACACCTGCCTGCGCCTCTAACATCTAATCTGTCAGGAGGACTAAAACCTGAAAGTGTCAGAGGGGGTGATAGGTGTGTAATTGATGGTCCTGGATGAATCCCATCTTCCAGGGTAGTAGGCTATGCATGGCTGAGGCTAACTGCTACATCTATAACTGTGTCCCAAATGGCACCCTATTCCCTTCATAGTGCACTAGTCGACTTTGACCAGGGCCCATAGGGATCTAGTCAAAAGTAGTCCACTAGATAAGGAATAGGGTGCCATTTGGGACACAGCCTATGCTTTAGACCTGGAGCATTTGTCTCAACCAGACAAGCTGAGCTGCTTCACAGTCTTCTTAACAGCAGTCCTGTTCCTGGGGGTGCCGGAGATTAACTTTATTAGTCCTTCTGCTGAGTAATGCAGGGCTGCTTACATTAGCACAGGAGACCGTCCAAACAAAGAGCAATGAGGCCTGGATTTACTCCAACCAATGACAACAGGAAGTCCATCTCTCTAGTTTTCACTGAACAGCAGTTACCCAAGTGAACAGCTCCAATTTAAGTGCATACTAATTCTCTAACATAGCTTTTTTAGTACAAACAATGCTCTTACAAAGCTGTTTTAGTGCATACAATGCTCTTACAAAGCTGTTGTAGTGCATACAATGCTCTTACAAAGCTGTTGTAGTGCATACAATGCTCTTACAAAGCTGTTTTAGTGCATACAAAGCTTGCCATTCGGATTAGCTTGCTGCAGAAAGTCTAAAACTTTTGTAGTACTTCAAACTCATTCTGAATTTGCCTTATGGACTATTATGTCCCTTGTGGTTCAGTTGGTAGAGCACGGCACTTGCGAAACCAAGGTTGTGGGTTCGTTCCAATGGGGGAGCAGTACGAAAATGTATGCACTCACTACTGTGTCGCTCTGGATAAGTGTCTGCTAAATGACTAAAATGTAAATGTAGAATAACTGTATTTCTCACCTCTAGGTGTAGCACATGCATAATTCCCTAACAAATGGCATGGATACATAAATGAAAGAGTAAAACTAGTTGTGAGAATGTTTCTGATGGCACACTAAAAGAAAGTCACTCCTGTTGAAATATTGCAATGTAGATATTAAAGGACATCCCTTGGCCATACCGTAGGAATGATAGAAAAGTCAGCAGAGCAATGAAGAACAAACTGTAATGTGTATAGATGACCCGAGGGTGGAAAGCATATGCTGTGTCCTACATGAGACACCACTGCTTTATGGTCTATTGCCAAATCACTACCTTAAACAACCAGAAGATGGCAGCAAATTCAAGAACTGTGTGATTAAGACTACTTTATTGGTAAATTGGCCACAAGGTCCAACTGAAATTGTACCTCCGCTTTTAACCCAACCCCTCCTACAGACATACTTATAAATATATACCGTTATTTTGGAGAGTTCGGGGTGTGGCCACACTGGGAGATGTGGGGGGTTAAGTGCTTTGCTCAAGGGCACAACGGCAGGCAATGGCATCTAGGATTTGATACCATCAACCCTCCGCTTGCCAGCTCACTTCCTGACAGATTTTTCCCGTCGGACCCAGGATTCAAACTGGTAACCCTCCAGTTGCTGGTTCACCTCTCAAACCTGCCGCCCCTGCCATGTGTGATGATGGTGGCATTAGGCCTAATTTAAATGTATAGATCTGAAAATACAACCGACAACTTAGATTTGTTTGCTCAATAAATTGTTCCTTTAATATAGTTAACAAAGCACATTATGGATTTAAACACTCCATTCAAGTATACAGTTGGCATACATAATATACTGTAGCGACTCAGCTGTCACTGTACTGTACCCTCATAAAACAGAGGATGACAGTTTGGTAGCACCATTATAAAAAGTACAATAAAATAATGAGCGACACACACACACATTATAAAATAAAAAAACTAAGTAAAAAAAATCCCTACTCTATTAAAATCCCTGACTTTTACAACAATAAGTTACTTATATGATGTTTGCTGGAAAATATGAGATTGTTCATGAATGTTGAAAAGGAAACAAAAAGGCACTGAGGGGGATTAGTTGTATCCCTCCGTTTGAACTACCGTACTACCACCACTATGTTGTGGTGTGGGGCAGGCTAATGTCTGCTATTTGGTCACCGTTTTTACAATGGAAAAGGAACTTCTCAGGCACTTGGGACTGGTCCTGGGTTTATTACAGATGTCAGAGTGAGAACACCACAGAATAACTTACAAATAGAGCATGTTGACCATATTGATGACATCTGAGGGAGTACCCTGAGGGTAGCAACCCTGCACTTCTAAATAATGTTGTCTACATTTCCCAAGGAAGAGGAAATATAATACATTATTAAATCACGTCACCTTGTTGCACAATTCTAAGAGAGAAAAAGGCACAGGACATCTCTTGGACTGTTAAACATTTCCCAACAGCAATGCGCTTACTGGCAGTTAGTTATTGCATCCTATCATTGTATTGTACTGTACTGTATCCTTCATTAAGCTACTCGGAGAGTAGCCTATATGAGGCACTTACTGTATAAAGCCATTAAACATTATTATTAGCTAATGATCAATAAAGTCTGTAGTGTTCCCAAATATGCCTTCGTTCATAGTCCAAGAGAGAGATTTCTTTGTCAGAGATATCCAAACACTGGGAAAATGACCTTTTGAATTAACGTTTTATCATATTACAAAAAGAAGTGCCGCAGAATTCCCTTTTCACTGCACTAATTTTGTCCAGGGCCAAACCGTAGTGCACTATATAGGGAATAGTGTGCCATATGAGTCTCATAACCTCTAGTGGGGAGCAGTGGGGATGTACATTTCATGTCTCTAACCCAGGCGTGACAGAGAAACTCTATCAGTACCGTATTGATCTCAACCAGAGAGCTGGGACTGGGAGAGGCTGCCTGGTTTTGGCCTGAACTGGGAGAGGCTGCCTGGTTTTGGGCTGAACTGGGAGAGGCTGCCTGGTTTTGTGAAGATAAAAGGATACATAAAATAGTCTGCCTAAGAAGGAGAGGGGATGTCTGAAAGATGTGGGCAGTGGGTTGCTTCTTTAGGCATAGTCAATGAGTGCTGTCCATATACTGTAGCACTCCCCACTAGGAGGGTTCATTCTTAACAGCTGTAGGCTTATTGGCGACAAGATAGAAGAGTTCATCCTGGACTGCTGAGAGAGAGAACAGAGCCCCAGGACAGCAACACAATTAGACCCAACCAAATCATGAGAAAACAAAATATAATTACTTGACACATTGGAAAGAATTAACAAAAAAACAGAGCAAACTAGAATGCTATTTGGCCCTAAACAGAGAGTACACAGTGACATAATACCTGACCACTGTGACTGACCCAAACTTAAGGAAAGCTTTGACTATGTACAGACTCAGTGAGCATAGCCTTGTTATTGAGAAAGGCCACTGTAGGCAGCACTGTCTCTCAAGAGAAGACAGGCTATGTGCACACTGCCCACAAAATGAGGTGGAAACTGAGCTGCATTTCCTAACCTCCTGCCAAAAGTATGAACATATTAGAGACACATATTTCCCTCAGATTACACAGACCCACAAATAATTAGAAAACAAACCCAATTTTGATAAACTCCCATATCTATTGGATGAAATCCCACAGTGTGCCATCACAGCAGCAAGATTTGTGACCTGTTGCCACAAGAAAAGGGCAACCAGTGAAGAACAAACACCATTGTAAATACAACCCATATTTATGTTTATTTATTTTCCTTTTTGTACTTTAACTATTTGTACATAATATGACATTTGAAATGTCTTTATTCTTTTGAAACTTTTGTGAGTGTAATGTTTACTGTTAATTTTTTGTATTGTTTATTTCACTTGCTTTGGCAATGTAAACATATGTTTCCCATGCCAATAAAGCCCCTTGAACTGAAATTGAATAGATAGATAGATAGAGAGAGAGATCTAGTGTTTGGGGGCTTTTTGGCATTCTCTCTGTGTTGGTGGTGATGGTTCTCTGTTCTTCTCTTTCATCCTTTTATCTGTGGATCACCTGGTTGTTCAGTAGCCCAGGAAAGGCCTCCTCAGTCTCAGTGCTTAACGAACCACCTGGACACAGAAAAGGAGACAACAGGTCACACATGGTTACAATTAAACATGTCACAACACTTTACACATTACACTTTCAAACCAAAGTTTGTCAGACGATTTAAGACCTCTAAAGTAGTCTAATGTCAAGATGAAACCAGGTCCCACGACATCAGTTGTGTAGATCCAACAACTGCATATGCCTCCACCACAAATTAATGGCATATAGCTGGATCAATACATCTTGACATTCGTCTACTTCTGAAAACATTTAACTTTCATTTATGAGTGAAATGTCCCTTTAAGTCAAGGAGGGTGGTGGAACAATGCAGTAACACATAATGTCTGATGTAAAACAGTCGCTCTACCTATGGTTGGTGCACCATTGCCTTACCATTATGACAGTTGTACATCCATATACGGTGGCCGTCGTATCTACATCTGCACTTCATGAAGTTATTGGAGTGGTCGGACTCGGGCACCTCATAGTTAGGGTTAATAACAACCTGTGGGACAGAGCCAAGTTGTTGTGAATGATCATTCCATACAAACAATCTTAACTATTGACAATCTAACAAGACTGTGTCCGGCAGAGACAACTAGTCCAACATGGAGATGACGAGGAAGCCAATCAAACTCTACAACTAACAAAATACATAGTTGGCATACAACATGAAAACCTCAATCGATAACATAGGATAATAGTGGAGTGGCATGACCTTGGTAGGGTACCAAATTGCATCCTATTCCCAATAGTGCACTACTTTTGACCAGAGCCCTATCAAAAGTAGTGCACTATATAGGGAATAGGTTGCCATTTGGGAGTTTACAGCATGTAACCAGAAAAGTCACTTACCTGGAATATGTAATCTCCGGGCTTGATGTCTGTGATGTCGATCCACTGGCAGTCAATATCATGTCTGTACGTATCCCAGCAGCCCACAGTGATGCCTTGCTCCCCAAAGTTGGCACACTCATATCTTTTCTCAATACCTGTCGAAGTTACAATCAATTAAAGACAAACAGGTAAGCACATCATTTTGCATGATGGACGCTTTTGTGAGTGAAAGTTGGGCTATTGCTCAGAGCTGGATGGGTATAGGCTGTATTATATTCCGCTTGGAGTGAGGAACACTGCATAGACGAGGGCTTTCCACACTACTGAGCTGAACAAAGCAGAGCCAAACCTACTGAACTGGCCTAGTTACACATCCGCCACAGTTACTGGAACCAGGCTGAAAAGAACGACACAGCACAGTTTGGTTCAGGTTGGCATAATAGTGTAAAAAAGGGTAGAAGTTTGTCGGAGGATGGTATGAATAGGTAAGTTGCAGGGCCTTGGTCAAAAGTAGTGCACTAGGGAACAGGGTGCCATTTGGGATGCACACTGTTTCTCCAGGCTCTTACCCTCTTCACATTCAGTGTCCTCCAGACAGAAGCTGGCCTTGTGTCCCTCTGCCACCTTAGTGCCGTTGAGGCTGAGCAGGTCATAGTGGGTGAACACCTCCATGCTGTGATAATGGCTGGACACAGAGAGAGACACGTTTATTCAACTAACCTCTAGCTTGCAATCACAGTGCAAAAGTAGACCTGTCAACTACTTGGTGCCTAGTATATTCTCTCTGAAGCAGATAGGTTTTTATACAAGAGCTTGAGACACTGTTGAAACACATGGCACCAAGGCCAAAGAAACCCAAAATAAACATTTCCTTTGAAAATGGTATATGTTTAGCAATTCTATGTGTAATCCAACAGGGCTCTTGGCAGAAGGTTGATTGGAGCTCCACTGCATGCACCGAGGGTTTGATGTGTGTAGAGCTGATGACTGTGTGAAGCTGGCAATATTGCACAGTTCATCCAATGCCTTGACCAAGAACATCTGAGACGTTTCAGTCCATGGTCAATTACAGGGCAGAGAACTTTTGGAAATGGGAAACTTTCAATAGAACTTTCTCTTAACTTCTGCCTCTTATGAAAAGCAACAAAACGTGTTTTGACAGTTATCTCCAAACAGCGCTAAAATAGCCAATCCTGATGACCCACACAACTGTGAGGTCAATAAATCACCAAATTAAATAAAAAAGTAAATTATCTTACAGTTTCACAGACAGACAGACAGACAGACAGAAAAATCCATGGAGATACTTGCCTGTGGCAGTCATGCCACACCCAGGAGTGGCGTTCAGCCTTGGGACGGAAGTCAGACTGTCCGTTGTTGTGGATCTGGGAGGAGAAGCGCAGCAGGCGGCGGTTGGAGATGGCAGGGCTCTCACTGGAAGTGGTGGAAAGGCAGTTCTCCTCGTAGGCACACTGCAGCAGGAACATGGGTCTGTCCTCCATATAGGTGGTCTGCTCCACTACCTGGGGGTTCAGCACCAGGTCAGGGGCAGCTGAGAGGAGAGCAAGGAGGGGACAGGGAGCAGAGAGATATGGCGGTTACTGGTTTGAAATCAGACCATACTTTATCCTCACAATTTACTGTAACATGTAGTGCTGCTGACTACTGAAATTACAATGTTACAGGTCCGCACTCAAAATATTGATAGATGAGATTGAAGGATGCTTATAATAGCCATTAAATCATAATAGGCCAGGCCAGACAAATGTATGTTTTGGCATGCAAGCAATCATCTTTCAATGCAAGACATTACATTTAAGTCATTTAGCAGACGCTCTTATACAGAGCGACATACAGTTAGCGAGTGCATACATTATAATTTTTTTCATACTGCCCCCCCGTGGGAATCGAACCCACAACCCTGGCGTTGCAAACACCATGCTCTACCAACTGAGCTACATCCCTGCCGGCCATTCCCTCCTCTACCCTGGACGACGCTGGGCCAATTGTGTGCCGCCCCGGTCGCAGCCGGCTACAACAGAGCCTGGATTTGAACCAGGATCTCTAGTGGCACAGCTAGCACTGCGATGCCTTAGACCACTGCGCCACTCGGGAGGTAGTCTAGTCCAGGCAGACTACTGTCTGTAAGGAAAAGACATATGAGTCCTCTTACTCTCTGAGCAGGAGACTCCGGCAGCATTGCGTCCCCCTCCTTTAGGACAGGTGAGATGAGCTCCGTGGTGCAGGCACTGGGAAAGGGACATCTCAGTGCCAGAACATCGCACTCCACTCATCACCACAGGGTCAGCACTCACCTCCCCTGGCCAGTACCACGTCTCCTACAGGACAGGAACACAACATGACAGCGGTCAGGGAATGGTTTATATCAGACAGAGAATTTGTGGTATCAGACGTAGGTTGTGTTTGCTATGCCAATATATGATTATATTTTATTATTATATTTATATGTTCAACTAACTAGTTGGATAATTAATGTATGTAGATACCAGTAAGTATAAAGGAGTTTGAAAAATGTACCGGTAGTATTCACATTCACTATGGATTCAAGGGGCATAGCAACACATATGAGCAAAGCAGTTTTTCTACCAACCACAAGAGGGTTGGTATAGTATATAGTACGTACAGTGCATTCGGAAAGTATTCAGACCCCTTGACTTTTTCCAAATGTTGTTACGTTACAGCCTTATTCTAAAATTGATTAAATTGTTTTTTCCCCTCATCAATCTACACACAATACCCCATAATGACAAAGCAAAAAATAAAACTGAAATATCACATTTACATAAGTATTCAGACCATTTACTCAGTACTTTGTTGAAGCACCTTTGGCAGCGATTACAGCCTCAAGTCTTCTTGGGTATGACGCTACAAGCTTGGCACACCTGTATTTGGGGAGTTTCTCCCATTTTTCTCTGCAGATCCTCCCAATCTCTGTCAGGTTGGATGGGGAGCGTCACTGCACAGCTATTTTCAGGTCTCTCCAGAGATGTTCGATCGGGTTCAAGTCCGGGCTCTGGCTGGGCCACTCAAGGACATTCAGAGACTCTTGCGTTGTCTTGGCTGTGTGCTTATCCTGTTTTGCCAGGTGAACCTTCGCCTCAGTCTGAGGTTCTGAGTGCTCTGGAGCAGGTTTTCATCAAGGATCTCTCTGTACTTTGGCTCCGTTCATCTTTCCCTCGATCCTGATTAGTCTCCCAGACCGTCCCACTGAAAAACATCCCCACAGCATGATGCTGCCACCACCATGCTTCACCGTAGGAATGGTGCCAGGTTTCCTTCCAGACATGACGCTTGACATTCAGGCCAAAGGGATCAATCTTGGTTTCATCAGACCAGATAATATTGTTTCTCATGGTCTGAGAGTCTTTAGGTGCGTTTTGGCAAACTCCAAGTGGGCTGTCATGTGCCTTTTACTCAGGAGTGGCTTCCGTCTGGCCACTCTACCATAAAGGCCTGATTGGTGCAGTGCTGCAGAGATGGTTGTCCTTCTGGAAGGTTCTCCCATCTGCACAGAGGAACTCTGGAGCTCTGTCAGAGTGACCATCAGGTTCTTGGTCACCTCCCTGACCAAGGCCCTTCTCCCCCGATTGCTCAGTATGGCCAGGCGGCCAGCTCTAGGAAGAGTCTTGGTGGTTCCAAACTTCTTCCATTTAAGAATGATGGAGGCCACTGTGTTCTTGGGGACCTTCAATGCTGCAGAAATTTTTTGGTATCCTTCCCCAAATCTGTGCCTCGACACAATCCTGTCTCGGAGCTCTACGGACAATTCCTTCAACCTCATGGCTTGTTTTTTGCTCTGACATGCACTGTCAACTGTGGGACCTTATATAGACAGGTGTGTGCCTTTCCAAATCATGTCCAATCAATTGAATTTATCACAGTTGGACTCCAATCAAGTTGTAGAAACGTCTCAAGGATGATCAATGGAAACAGGATGCAACTGAGCTCAATTTCGAGTCTCATAGCAAAGGGTCTGAATACTTATGTAAATAAGGTATTTCTGTTTTAGATTTTTTATAAATTGCTAAAATGTCTAAAAACCTGTTTTTCGCTTTGTCATTATGGGGTATTGTGTGTAGATTGATGAGGTAAATGTTTTATTCAATCCATTTTAGAATAAGGCTGTAACGTAACAAAATGTGGAAAAGGTCAAGGGGTCTGAATACTTTCAGAATGCACTGTATAAGCTGGAAGTAGAAGCTTAAGTGTTGTTGTTCATTAGTTTACTCAAGTTAGGGGAGGGATGGTAGGGTTAGGGGAAAATAATACAAAAAATATATGGGGGATTGGAAATGATGCAGACAATTACATTGATGGAAGCCACAATTTATCTGCAATATTAAAGCTGATCTACCCCCTAATTTTTTTTAGACCAGCCTAAATTTCAAGCTGGTCTATGCTGGTCCATGCTGGTTTGACCTGGTTTGACCAGCATGGTCTAGCTGGTTAGGCTGGCCGACTAGCTGGTCAAGCTGGTAATGATGATGACCAGCTCATGCTGGTATGCTGGTGATGCTGGTGTGCTGGTAACCAGCTTATGCTTGTGATGCTGGTGACCATGCATGCTGGTCCAGCATGGTCTAGCTTTTCTGCAAAACCACGGCCATCGTTATCATATTTCCCAGCATGCTCTATTGCGGTTAGATTTTTAAAATTGTTTGTTTCAATATCTGTGTTTTTGCATGTATATTGATTGATTAATTAATCAATTAATTGATCTTATGCTACACAAAGATACTGTAAATAACATACATTTTTCTAAACTAATCAAATCTGTTAGTTGGACTTATTGAACCCGTTACTCAAATGGTTGTTCTAGTTTAGATGGTTTAGGTAGTCTCATTTATTCATCTTTCTTACCCTGGCAGTCATTCTGAATGCAGATTTGTGGATGAATAAAAGTTCAAATAGTTGGATATCCCCACTCTTGCTGGATTCCAATAGGAATTAGTCATCACTTTATAAGCCTGCATAATGTGAGTTCATGCTGGTTTTGCTGGTGACCAGCATATGCTGATACGCTGGTGACCAGCTTATGCTGGTAGGCTGGTGGCTAGCTTATGCTGGTCACCAGTGTCCAAAACATAGCAAAGGCTGGTCACCAGCAAAAAAACATTGAAGGCTGATTACCTTTTTTTCAGTAGGGTAACTGTACTGTAATGCTGTGGAGAGCACTGCTGCATGTTTGGACAGGTCGGCAAAATAGGAATTTGTTTTTAATTGACTAACTGTATAAATAAAGGTACAATAAATACACATTTCTAAAAAAAAATCTCACCTGGTAGGCATTGCTGGCGAAGCCGAGGCCCAGCTGTCTGCACACGACCATAGCCTCCATGGTGCCCCAGCCATCACTGCACACCGTACCCCATGCCAGGGAGCCGTTCCTCTCCACCAGCACCTCCACACGCCCCTCGTATGGGTTACGTCCTCCACTCAGACGCAGCTGCACAGAGAGACACATGAGAGGTATTTAGCTACACACAGTTAGCAGCAATAGGAATACTACTTTGTCCATTACTACATTATACAATGTTTTTATTTTATGAAAGAAGGAAATGTACTGTAGTTAAATGTTCAATCTTATTGACTATAGTGATGAGAATAGCACATGATGTCTCCGTTAAAGATAACCTGTGCTCTTTACCTGACTAACACACATACACACACACACACACACACACACCCTCTCCTGGAAACCCATTGCTGGGATGTTGCACCTCACGGCTGCATCCTCCTCATGGCTGCAGCCCAGCGACTCTTTGTTGAAGAAGCACTCTGTGATGGACTTCTCAAAGCCAGAGCACTCAATCTCATTCATATGGACCGGGCCCATACCTGGGAAATACACAAAGAGAATAATACTGGTAAGAGATGGGCAGAGGCTCTTGGAGTTGACTCTTTCCCAGACGTTCAGGGAAGCTAAAAGAACAGTGGAGTGAGGCTAAAAACTGGGTGGTTCCACGTTTACAGGTAAATGGAACTGAGGTGAATCTAAGTCAAAGTCCAAGACTTGGTGTTTCCATCAACAACCTCATGGGAGACCATGAATTTTAATGCATTGCAGGATCTTGTCATCACTTTATTAGATGAGTGTCAGTATTGAATGCAAGGTCAAAGAGGATGTTTTCATGTCTGTTCTATCTGGTCTGCTATTAAGATGTGTCCTTCTGTAACTTATTTTCCTGGAGGCCTTAGTTACAAAGATAGTGTTCCTTTCTCCTTGACAGTAGTAAATCATGTGGGGAAAATGTTTTTACAAAAGGAACAACCAGTCCAGAATTCTCTCTGGATGCTTCTCAAATGGCACCCTATTCCATATCGTCACTGTCTGATGAAAACCTTGTAATAAAATGTTTGCCTATTTTATTTGTTACATTTATTGAAAGCAGTAACTCCCCTCAATGAATGCTGAACATTTCATGACTCTAGGACCAATAAATATAAAATGCATTTGAAATAACTCAAAACGTATGTTTGTTAATGGGAAAATATGGTAATTTCTTCAATTTCCTGAAAGGTTCCTGTTTTGGTGCTAAGAGGTTTTCATCAGACAGCAACGATATATAGTGTACTACTTTTGACCAGGGCCCATTGGGTAGTACACTATGTAAGGGATAGGGTGCCATTTGAAACATAGCCCCTGTCTGCTGTTTCCATGTTCTATAATGTGGCATTATTCTGGAATTTACTACTCCTTTTTTCAGTCTCATGCCTAGGTGGACTAGCTCAGAGATAAAATTAATAATAGCGGTACCTATTCGGAAAACAGCAGTGTGCAATTCCTTTCAACCCTGGTTATAGGGTCCTGTGTAGCTCAGCTGGTAGAGCATGGCACTTGCAACGACAGGGTTGTGGGTTCGATTCTCACGGGGGACCAGTATGAAAATGTATGAACTCACTACTGGATAAGAGTGTCGACTAAAATGTATTATGAGAAACACCCAGTTACAAGGAAACATACCATCTACTTCAGTCTCACTTAAAATTGTTGAGTTATTTAAAGACACAGTTACTGTAAGATCTGCTGAACACATCATTTTGACTGTGAGTCAGTGATACATACTGTATATTGAGAGGGTCCATGCCTCTGTTATTGGTCTGCCTCTGCAGTAAAAAAAAATCCATGGTAACCAATATCTCCGCAGGTAACACTGAGTGAGAGGAAACTGGTCAATAAATGGTAGGTCCTCGTTTGGGCAGGGCCCATGTCCCTGGAGGGAAAGACGAGGTCTTCCAAACAGATAAGGGAGTATGTACTCTTTAAATATAGTATTTCTCTCCACTACAGCCTTTCAATTACAGTACTGGAATATGGCGAGTATGGCCTTGCATTGTTCAGCTCACTGTGACCCTGAGCCTGTATTCACAAAGAATCAGAGTAGGAATGCTGATCTAGGAACAGGTCCCACTTTTTCATGTTATCTTAGTCATTATGATCTAAAAGGCCAAACTTATCCTAGATCAGCACTCCTACTCTGTGAAGCTTTATGAATATGGGCCCTGAACTGCAGAGAACAAATAAAAAGTTGAACTGATCCATTCCATTTCTATAACCCAGCCTGGTCCGCTCCTCCAGGGCACCTCCTGTTGTTCAGGTCAGGGTTAGTGTGGGGCTCAAAAGGCCGGCAAATAAGGGTCTTTTGGACATTTTCCCTTTGCAACATTTGGTGAGCACATGTAGCTCTAAAGCTACAGTACACAATTAAGTTGTTCATGTAAATGTGTCTTGGTATTCCAGGAATTCAAGTGGTTATCTCATATTGCTACTCAGGCTTTGTGCGTTAGGCCCATGTTGATTGATTGACAGTTGATTGAAAATGATGAAACAAACCCAATACTCTTGTACAACTGCTCTAAAAGAGACCAGAAAAACTTGCTTGACCACTAATCCGATTTTGATTACTTCTGTAATAACAAAGGTTTGTTTTTAATTACATTTACATTTACATTTTAGTCATTTAACAGACGCTCTTACAGGAGCAAAAGGCCTTAATCTATTTAAGGCCTTTTACATAGATCAAACATTATAATAGTCAACTTCATCTTCAGCCCAGTCAACTGCTAGGCTGACCAATATGTTGGAATGCCCATTATGTATTTGGCCAGATGTATTGTTGTGAATGGCACTGTTAATGTAAGTAGGACTGAGTTCCAATCCCTACCCTGTCCAAGCCGACCACCAGACAGGGCCTCCTTGGCACTCCCGAAGCCCAGCTCTCGACACACCACCGTGGCTGACAGGAGGCTCCAATTATCATCACAGATGGTTCCCCACTCGCCGTTCTTCAGCACCTCCACACGACCTTCCCCTACGATGGCCCCACCTCGCAGACGCACCAACGTTTGCTGCAGGAACAAGACGGAGATCAGACACATAGTAGGCTGAGTTATTCGAACACCCAAAGCAAGGCATATGCATTATGTCACATTAACACATACTGAAATATGAAAGACAATAGAAGGCACAGTACGTAGACCTTACTGGTCCAAAAAGCAGAATTACAGAGTTCAACTTTCCATAAATGAATGATTCCTTATAGAGAAATAAATAACTGTCTAGAGGGTGCCATTTATAAAGAGTTACAAAACCTCAGTTTTGAGTTGGCTCTTTCCCAGACTTTCTGAGAAGCTAGAAGAAAGGTTGAGTGAGGGTTGTGAGGCTACAGACTGGGTGGCTCCAAGTTTACACAGTAGGTAAATGTTACTCCCATTTACGGTTTTGGCAAATTGGAAGTGGACACATTAGTAGCATAACCGTATCTTATTTACTCAGATTTGTAATTATAGACAGCAATGCATAAGCGTTTGCATGCAGTTTGGGATTGGCACTGCTTTGTGGTTTGTGTTTCCAATGCCAAAAAAGGAAACTATAACCTATGTTTATTCCCAGTATACAGTGGGGGAAAAAAGTATTTAGTCAGCCACCAATTGTGCAAGTTCTCCCACTTAAAAATATGATTTTCATCATAGGTACATGTCAACTATGACAGACAAATTGAGATTTTTTTCTCCAGAAAATCACATTGTAGGATTTTTAATGAATTTATTTGCAAATTATGGTGGAAAATAAGTATTTGGTCAAGCAAGATTTCTGTCTCTCACAGACCTGTAACTTCTTCTTTAAGAGGCTCCTCTGTCCTCCACTCGTTACCTGTATTAATGGCACCTGTTTGAACTTGTTATCAGTATAAAAGACACCTGTCCACAACCTCAAACAGTCACACTCCAAACTCCACTATGGCCAAGACCAAAGAGCTGTCAAAGGACACCAGAAACAAAATTGTAGACCTGCACCAGGCTGGGAAGACTGAATCTGCAATAGGTAAGCAGCTTGGTTTGAAGAAATCAACTATGGGAGCAATTATTAGGAAATGGAAGACATACAGGACCACTGATAATCTCCCTCGATCTGGGGCTCCACGCAAGATCTCACCCCGTGGGGTCAAAATGATCACAAGAACGGTGAGCAAAAATCCCAGAACCACACGGGGGGACCTAGTGAATGAACTGCAGAGAGCTGGGACCAAAGTAACAAAGCTCAAATCCTGCCAGGGACTCAAATCCTGCAGTGCCAGACGTGTCCCCCTGCTTAAGCCAGTACATGTCCAGGCCCGTCTGAAGTTTGCTAGAGTGCATTTGGATGATCCAGAAGAGGATTGGGAGAATGTCATATGGTCAGATGAAACCAAAATATAACTTTTTGGTAAAAACTCAACTCGTCGTGTTTGGAGGACAAAGAATGCTGAGTTGCATCCAAAAAACACCATACCTACTGTGAAGCATGGGGGTGGAAACATCATGCTTTGGGGCTGTTTTTTCTGCAAAGGGACCAGGACGACTGATCCGTGTAAAGGAAAGAATGAATGGGGCCATGTATCGTGAGATTTTGAGTGAAAACCTCCTTCCATCAGCAAGGGCATTGAAGATGAAACGTGGCTGGGTCTTTCAGCATGACAATGATCCCAAACACACCGCCCAGGCAACGAAGGAGTGGCTTCGTAAGAAGCATTTCAAGGTCCTGGAGTGGCCTAGCCAGTCTCCAGATCTCAACCCCATAGAAAATCTTTGGAGGGAGTTGAAAGTCCGTGTTGCCCAGCGACAGCCCCAAAACATCACTGCTCTAGAGGAGATCTGCATGGAGGAATGGGCCAAAATACCAGCAACAGTGTGTGAAAACCTTGTGAAGACTTACAGAAAACGTTTGACCTGTGTCATTGCCAACAAAGGGTATATAACAAAGTATTGAGACACTTTTGTTATTGACCAAATACTTATTTTTTCCACCATAATTTGCAAATAAATTCATAAAAAATCCTACAATGTGATTTTCTGGATTTTTTTTTTGTCTGTCATAGTTGACGTGTATCTATGATGAAAATTACAGGCCTCTCTCATCTTTTTAAGTGGGAGAACTTGCACAATTGGTGGCTGACTAAATACTTTTTTCCCCCACTGTACATGTATATTATAATATTCTAAATAGGTATCTGAAAAACATAATAAAATACCAAAACCATCATAGAATGTGTACATATTCAAAAGCAGTAAGTATTTGGGTGATGCCTGAATATTTCTGTGGGGATCTATTTTCTTATAACTAGACGTGATGCCTAGCTTAGAAAGAATGCATTAATGATTAAACATAATAGGTTTGTACTGTACTGATATACATTGTTTAACATAACAAGCTGTGATTTATGTGAGGAGCTGTTAGGGAGTAGGGGGAGATAAGAACTTGTGTCTCACATACACAAACACAGCCTCTTTGTTAAACCGCGCTCAAGGACGTGTACTGCAAAAGTGCTGACTCTCTGGACAAGTTGCAAAACAACGAACACCTGGCAACAGTGAAGCGCCAAGGGGCTGGGACCAGCCTGTGCGCCAACGATAGGCTGAGTAAGTCTAAACCACGCTCAGTCTCTACTCTGATAGGCCTGCTTGGAGCAGGAACTATCTCTGTCAGAGTATTTAAAGAAGGAACTTATGACAATGGCTCAGTTCTCTGTCTGTCCTGTGTGGTATTTCAGTGGACCCGTATACACGAACATCATATTTACCATTCAAGTGTTTTCCATTAATTAAAATACTAGTCTATTTTAGAAGACGTGTATTGACCTCTTTTTGTTCCCAATACCAGATTTGAACTTAACATTTCTTAGGTGAACCTGTGGCAGGGAAAGAGGGAAATATGGTTTAGAAAATGGGATTGACAATCTGAACCCAAGCAAGGACAGGAATGGCATTCTCAAATGCAGAGAATTAGCTTATTAGCAGTGGGCCCAAACAACTCTGGCATCACAGCTTAGTCTTCTTCTGCCTCAAGGCTTCTGCCTCAACTAGTTCAGGATCCTAATACTTCACAGTGTAAAAATAATGCTTTCCCACTGGGCACAAACTGGTTGAATCAACGTTGTTTCATCATAATTTGTCAATGTATTGTGACGTGGAATCTACGTAGAAAATACATTGGATTGATTTGGAAAAAGTAATCAATGTAAACTGTGGTTTTGAGGGTGAAATTTCAACCACAGGATTATGTCATCATGGTAACCAAATTTCAGCATAGACAAACCTTGTATAAAATATGTTGAATTCGTACCTTTAAAACAACGTCAGATCATCAACGTTATATCCACTATCAGAAAAATAGACTGGGCAGCACCTCCTACTGGAGAATTGATCTATCTACAGCTACCCTTTGGTCTCCCAGCACTATTTAGCTTTGAGATTTGTCACTGACTATTACCAATGTGTTATCATGAGAGTGATTGTTAAGAGATCTCCACTTAAAAACGAAACAGATTCACTGTTGCTGTCGAAGTCATTCCAAAGGGTAGGTTTAACAGAGCAAATTAAATGTGACCATACTTTATCACTCATATCATCAATAATGCTATTTAGGCCTATATATAATTTGCATTCATCAACAGCTATTGTTTCAATTCAACCCATAATTCAACAAAAACATAGACAATACAATAGGCCTAGGGTGTCAAGCTCTGTGCCATATCCACAAAGCATCTCAGAAGGGTCCTAGGAATCCTGTTAAAACCTGTTTTAAAACTAAAAAAACTCTCATTTCAGAGTAGGTTTTAGGATGATGTTAAGACACTGCCCAGACAAACTCTGAGCCAGGAGTAAAATCAACTCAAAAAAGTTTATCTCCGCTGGTAATCACGACAGTTTGAGGTACAGCAAAGGAAAGATAGTGATGACGCTCATTGACATTGTTAAAAATGATGGGGAATAACCAATTGCAATGAGGCATCGCCAGCTGTGAACTCTATAGCATACCTCAGACTGAACATCTTAATGTTGCAATTGTAAAACGTTTGATATAATTTCTTCTGAAAGGATCACTTCTCTTAATTATCGCCTAATATGTTGGCAGGCATAACCTTTTTTTTTTACCAATTCTTCTGGTTGTTAAAAGCAGAATTTTGACAATATTACCATTATATTAACACACTCGTCACTCCTGTTGAACAACCAATGAAGTATATAAACCCTGGATTGCTATTGCTATATATTGGTCATTGAGAGGCTTTGAAGCCACCGGTCGGCCATATTGGCACTCCCAAGTAGGAGCAGTCCTCCATAGGAATGAATGGAATTCTACAGTATTTCAATTAAATGTTTAAAGGACAAAATTACATGTATTTAAGTATTTTTCTGTTCTAGTTGGGACAGTAATCTCAATTTGTTTTATTATATATGTTTAGCTCACATAATATAATTGAAAAGTATGATTTAAGGTGTCTGTAATAGAATAAACATGGCAAAAAGGAATGTAGACATTAATAAATGCATTGCTATAGCTTCCAAAATATTTTTTACATAGGTGGGGGAGTGCCAAGATGGAGGCGCGGTGGTTTCAACTCCCGCTACCAGTCATCTACTGTATACAGTACCAGTCAAAAGTTCTCATTCAAGGGTTTTTCTTTATTTTTACTATTTTCTACATTGTAGAATAATAGTGAAGACATCAAAGCTATGAAATAACACATATGGAATCATGTAGTAACCAAAAAAGAGTTGGACAAATCAAAATATATTTTATATTTGAGATTCTTCAAATAGCCACCCTTTGCCTTGTTGACAGCTTTGCACACTCTTGGCATTCTCTCAACCAGCTTCACCTGGAATGCTTTTCCAACAGTCTTGAAGGAGTTCCCACATATGCTGAGCACTTGTTGGCTGCTTTTCCTTCACTCTGATGTCCAACTCATCCCAAACCATCTCAATTTGGTTGAGGTCGGGAGATTGTGGAGGCCAAGTCATCTGATGCAGCACTCCATTTACATTTACATTTACATCATTTAGCAGACGCTCTTATCCAGAGCGACTTACAAATTGGTGCATTCAACTTATGATAG